GGAAGTCCAAGATAGTGAAACAAAGGCCACAATATGTTGTTACAGTAGCCATTGTAGTACTGATGAACAATTTCTTCATCAAGGAAAACAGGGATGCACCTCTGCATATAGTAATAAAAGAATATTTAGAAGTAAGAGATGTAAGTTTAAAATAAATAAACTCTCTATTGGTGATACTTTCGAACTTTTATTTTTTTTACAAAAATTAAGAAAGAAAGAAAAACTTGTCCAAACAAGTTTAGGGACTAAAAGTTATTTCAAAGCAACTTTACTTTTTAAAAGCTTAGCCAAACATGCTCTTTGTTTTACAATTTATTACCAATCAAGCCATAAACCCATGATTATTTCACCTTTTCAGCTAGTGCTTTAGTAAGAGCCTTCTGCCCAACCTCATCTGGCACATTTACACCTGCCCAGCCAATCCACCGTGCCTCAAAATCCTTTACTCCTACAAAAAAAGTGACACTTGCAAGCATTTGAATTCAGACCAAACGAATGGGGTGAAATGTGACATGCTGGAAAACAGAAAATCATAGATAATATCTAAACTAAATTGAAAAGAAAAACTCGTATAAAAATGTAACTATCTACCAAAATCCTTACCAAGAAGAGCGCTTACTAGACCCCCTGCATTTATCTCTAGCAACCAGGAATCTTTATCTTTCCGAACTGCAGATACAGGAAGTCTGTTAGCAACCACTAACAATCTTTGTCTGATAGGCCTTCCGTCGGGACTTTCCCACCCTTTATTATGTGCTTGTGCAATGTTTTCTAAATATTGTTCCACATAGGAAGATGCAGAGCTATCGTTCTCAAAGACCTCAGACCCTATGTTACCATCAGTACCATCACTTGAAGAAGAAGCTCTGCTGCTTCTTCTTAGCTCTCTATCTCTTAAGAGCCTCGCTATTCGAGTACTAGGGACTTGTGAGTTGTCATTACACTTGTTCCCAGGCATATTGACTCTTCAGAAGAAGACCAGCAGAACAGGTTTTATTACAGTTCGAGCATCCAAAAAAGCAATCACCCTGCATTATGATTATCATCAATTGAGAATTAATCAACAAAAAAATTAACACAGATAGGACATTACAGATAATTCATTATAGAAAATTTGTTACATAAAAAGTGTACATATCAAATTCGTCAAGAGGAGTTTAGAGTATTTGCACATTTACCTATCAAAATTGACACTAGAGAAAGATGGATGAGCAAAACAAAAAGAGAAAAAGTAAATGGGATCAACAGAATTGTGCTAGATGGAAAATCGACGTCTACCCTTGAGTCCCAACATTAATGAAGACCCACGTAGTAGTCTCCTGAGTTCAGTTCAATACAGCAACAGAAAAAACAACAGCAGCAAACCTAACAAATCAACAAATAAAGTATGCATGTATATGAACTAATGGAAAAAAATGACTCATTTATAAATTACAACTAATCTAAACTAAACTAATTAAGAGGAATACTTAAGATGAATACAAGTGTTGATTACTCGAATTAGAGTGAAATTTTACGTGGATTTTCAACACATTTCCAAATTGATTTTCAAGTATTATAACACTTAAAAAAATTAAAATAAACAGGGAATGTTCATGTCAGTGTTTATGTGTGAATTGAGGAGTATCCAAATCGAGGAGTGACTAGCGTGTGCAGCAGATGAAGACCAGAAGACTAAACTGTAAAATTTCAAAGTTAACTGAGTAATTTGAAAGTTGAAACAAAATGAATTATTATGACAAAGTGAAATCTTGCTTAAAATTCAAGGACGAATGGTGTATTTAATTAAGTAAAAAATCATCTTCAAAGTCATCAGAATTTCCAGACAGAACAACAAATCTAAACACTTCCAGAAACCACCAAGAATTCAAAATTCAGTGAAATTAAAGCAATGCAAAGCAAACAAGTGATGAACAGTGTTTTTAACGCAGCAAAAAATTAAAAAATTAAAAAATTAAAAAGAAGAAGAAAAACCATCTTCAAAATCATCATTTATACACAGATTAAACAACCAATTAAGTAAAAACTAGAAAACCCATATAAAAAACAACTCGAAAGTGCCCCAATTCAATGAACATCGAAATTAAAGCAATGCAAACCAAAACAAGTTACGGGCCTGACGGAATTGGATCCCAAACTCTCTCCCGATCCTCAATTCTGTAATAGACTCTCAGTTGTCTGGAGGAAAAACCAAGAATTGGTTCATAAAAGGTGAAAAAGAAAAGAGAGTAAAAAAATAGTGGCTGAAAATTTCACCAGGTGGCTGAGATGTAGCATATGCGGAGATAAAGAGAGAGCAAAAGCGAATCTTTGCGCTAGCTTTACAGGGAAAAAAGTAGAGCCGCAAAGCCATGCAAATGAAACCAGTTTTTGGCTCAAAAAGGAACTGCAATTATTGTAATCTTTAAGGTACTTAAAAGATTCTTATTCAATGCTTACTCACCTTAGCAAAACAAGCGCGCACACGTGTGTACGCGTGTCGCAGAATAAAAATATATTATACAACTTGAAATAAATAAAATATTTTTAAATTGATCGAAAGCTCCAGTCCAGTTAATGGAATTCACGTGAGTATTTGTACTGAACGGACCATATTCTCGCTGCCTCCTTAATCCTCATAGGTTCGTTTAAAGTAGGAGCGTATGTGCGTTAATATTTTTACTTAAATTTTATTTTTTTCTCATTTATGGCTCTTTAGAGCTGGCTTGCAAGCGCATCTGGCTCATTATGTCATTCCGATATGACCTGTCATCCGCTTCAAATGTAATGATTCAAACATTTAAGTTCAAATCGATATATTATATGTGTTAGCGTGGATCGTTCAAATTCACGTGATACTTACTTACTGAACATGTGAATTTGGCGAGGATTGTGTTTTTTTTGAAGTATTGTGAACTTTAGACTAAATTCAATTATTGAACATTATCTTGTGATCGCTTTCTCTTCTTGTCTTGAATTTTGAATTCACTTCTTTTAGTACCGTTTGGACTTTGACAAAAACAAGAAAAATAGAGAGAGGAATCTAGTCGAAGGTGCTTGTTTCTCCGACGAAAAATCTTGGTTATCTTCAATGAACTTTTTTTTTTTTTTTTTGGTAAATTCATCGTCGTTCCCTTTGGATGACAGCACATTGATTCGATGCAGCACAAATTTGAGCTCAAAATCAAAATGCTCAACATCAAAGACTCAATTGATGGTGATCTTGAATAAGCTTTGGTTCAATTTTATCACATTGGGAGATTTTTTCGCTTAGTGACTTGTAACAAGTCATTGTAATCTGCATTTTATTTCTTCAATAAGTTCAATTTAAAAGAGTCTCTCCATGCCTTATTTCTCACATATTTCTATTGCGTTTCTCAAAATTAAAATCCAAAACTTTTATTTATTAAAAATTTAAGTTGAATCTCAATATCAATTAAGCAAGATACAACATTTCGAACAACTTTGATGTTGCCTCCTATCCAACGTATGATAAAGGGTAATTGACACAAAACGTTATTACCTTTTAATGTTATTGTGCAAAACGTCCATACCTTTTATTTTTTGATATTTTTATTCCTATTTTTACCTTTCATTACGGAAAATGTCATCTTTATCTAATTTCTCAATAAAAATATAAAATAACAAATATATCCTCCAATTTAAATTAAAAAGAAAAAAGAAAATTTTAAAAACAAATTATAATTATACTCCAAAATTTTTTGAAAAAAAACTGCAAATGATTTTAAATAAATTATAGGATAATTAGCACAAAACATCCATAACTTTCACTATTATTGTGTAAAACACATAACTTTCATTTTTTTTAGCATTTTTACCCTTATTTTTATATTTTACTGCGAAAATCATCATTTTCATCCATTTTTTAATTAAAAGTTGTAAAATAATGAATATACCCTCCTATTTAAATAAAACAAAAATAAACAACAAATTGTAACTATACTACCAAAATTTTCAAAAAAGTACAAATAAATTTCAAATATTTATTCAAAATTTATTTGTATTTTAAAAAAAATAAATTGGAAGTATGTTTGTAATTTGTTCTATATTTTTCTTTTTTTTAAATTGGAAGGTATATTCTTCATTTTACAGCTTTTTATTGAGAAATGAATGAAAATGATAATTTTCACAATGTAATGTGAAAATAAGGGTCAAAATGCCAACAAATGAAAAGGGACATTTTGTCCACTAATATTGAAAGGTATGGATGTTTTGTACTAATAACTGTATTAATAATTTAACTGGACTCATTTGTAGTTTTAAAAAAAAATTGGGAGTATAATTACTATTTGTTCTCTCTCTCTCTCTCTCTCTCTCTCTCTCTCTCTCTCTCTCTTTTCCTTCAAATAAGAGACATTTTTTTATTTTTTTATTAAATAAAAATGATCTTTTCTACAGTGAAAAATGAAAATGAAAGGCAACATCGTTTTGTACACTAACGACATTTCGTGCTAATTTGCCATACCATAAATCAAGCCTTTAGTTTTTGTATGTATATAAACTACAGAAAATGGAAAGGAAATAAATAGCAGCAAAGAAGAAGAATACGGACACACTGATTCAGTTCAACTCGTATTCAGTCAACAACTTGTCTAATTCGCACTCTTTGTCCGGCCTAATCCTCCATCTCGTAACCGTAACAGCGTGTGGATTCGACGAGGAGGCAGAAAATTGAAAGGGAAAAAATGGTGCGGAAGCGATTGCTGCTGCTGTTAAAGCCATTCGACGTGTACCCATCTCATGAATCCATCGCCCTCTCCTCCAACTGCAGTAAGGTAAGGACTCCTTGACACTACTTCAATTCAGAACAAATGGCGGCCAAAACCCACTAATTTTCTTTAACAATTATTGCGTTTTTAGGATTAAAAGTCCCCTTGTGTATGGTATAGACTATATCATCTATTTCATAATATTTCAAGATCACTGTTTGGAAAAAGTAACAGAGCATAAATCATAATAGTATTTTACGTTACTGTGAAATTTGGGAAAGTAACATTGGGTTGAGGTATGCATTAAGTCATATATGATTGAATTGAGAGTGTTGTTTCTTTAGGTTCGCAATGCTATAGAGGAAAATAAATTTGATTCCCAAGTCGCCCCCATTTACCTAACAACTTGCTTTCCCAGAACATATAATTTTATTACCAGTTTCTCCTAGTGGAATTATCATTCATTGAGTAATATTGTGGTCAGTTGCTGAGCCAACAAAAATTTAAAAGTTCCTATTGTTATATGCATTGAACATGATTTAGCTACAGTCGTGTGGCTTGAAACTTCGTGACGACGATTAAAGAATTTCGGGAAAAGTATTCACTTTATTTGTTTGGCTGCTACAATTAGTCTGAGGGTTTTTTTGATCTCTTGTTTTCCCATTTACACTGTTTCATTAGAAATCTTTAATGTATTTACGGTGCATTATCATTCTGGTTTGATTTTACTACATTTATAATTTGATAGACCCGCATGATTTTATTCCATTTATTTTCCACCCCCTAGGACTTCTAGCTATTCATCAATAGGTAAAAAAATGAAATAGTCCCAAGTCTTATCTAGTCAGAATCTCATAGTCCAACCAATGATATTCGCCTGGGTAACTTCAAAACTTATGCTTCCCATGTGGCCTACTTCCATTTCTTCAAAATTAATTTTCACTTATTACGGATTTTCCTCTCTTGAAGATGTTGAAGGTATTGAGATATCTAGATGACCGGAGGTTGGTTCACAAAAATGCAATAAGCTTCTGTCAGAATATTTTGAAGCAAAAGGCTGTAGACTGGAAAGCTGTTTTTCGGAATGATCTATCCCACTCAATCCATGGTGTTGATCTGGTCATTTCAGTTGGAGGCGATGGTACACTATTACAGGCAAGCCATTTCATGGATGATTCTATTCCAGTTCTAGGAGTGAATTCTGATCCCACCCGACAGGAAGAGGTCAGCTCATTTCTTGGATCTCTTTGTTTATTTTGAGTTTAGATATGTCCAGCTTCTCATAATAAATTCCTCCTTTTGAACTTAGGGAAAATATAGAAATTCGTTTTTAGCTTCCCTTAGCTAATAATGTTTGTCTTATTTACTTAGGTGGAAGAATTCGGTGAAGAATTTGACGCTACAAGGAGCACTGGTTATATTTGTGCAGCAACAACTAACAACTTTGAACGAGTGAGACAGCTACTTGAGCCATTACTTTTTCTCTTAGAACACCCACCCCAAATTTGTTGGGAATAAAGTCTTAGTTTCTTGTTGTATTATGTCTGGGGTTAAACTTTTAAGATTTAACCAAGATAGTTAAATTATTAGATAAGCTTCTCCTACTCCTATTCACTCGTTGATTCTGCTTGAAAAACCGGCATCATTTATTGTATATAGGTGTGTTTATTTCACTGGAGAGCTTAGCCATTACTTTTTCTCTTAGAACACCCACCCCAAATTTGTTGGGAATAAAGTTTTAGTTTCTTGTTGTATTATGTCTGGGGTTAAACTTTTAAGATTTAACCAAGATAGTTAAATTATTAGATAAGCTTCTGATTGTTCCTACTCCTATTCACTCGTTGATTCTGCTTGAAAAACCGGCATCATTTATTGTATATAGGTGTGTTTATTTCACTGGAGAGCTTCTAGTGTTCGATATATATGAGATTTTTATTTTTCAATTCATTGGGAGTCGAAGGACTCCTTGAAATTTGATAATTTTAACAATTTCAACCCAAGGTAATTTGCCTAATACTATGCTAGATAATTACATCGAGAACACCTTATTAGGAAGATGGCTAAAATTATAAAATACTACACCTGTCTTTCAAATACTTTGAAACGATTGTAAACGTCTCAGTCGCTTTGGGTTACTGCTGAATAATTATATGGAGAACACCTTATTAGGAAGATGGCCAAATTTATGAAGTAATACACCTGTCTTTCAAATACTTTGGAAGGATTGTAAACATCTTAAGTACTTTCCACTCTCTATCAACATGAATCCCACACTATGACTTGTTTCTTCAAGTGTATGGAAAGGCAATATACCTCTGAATAGCTATGCTTCCCCTATTTTGTTGAAGTGATATGTAAATAGAAGGAAAATAAGAACATGACGTCAACTGATAATATTTAACTTGTCATAAACATTAGTTTTTCTCATAACTTGCAATCATGTCAAGATAAGATTGTCTAATATTCATCTCACTTCCACATCAACACAATTTAGAATAAGTTAATAAGGCAGTCACAGTATAGGACCACTAAACATTCGGTGCACATTATTGAACAAAATTTGCCGGATAGAGTGCAAACTGATTTTTCATTACGTTTCTTCTGCACAATCATGTCAAGATAAGAATGGCTAATAAATATCTCACTTCTAAAGCCACATCCACTCAATCTAGAATGAGTGAATAAGGCAGGCACAATTTAGGACCGCCTAAACATTGACTTGCTTTGGGTGCACATGATTGAACAAAATTTTCCAGATAGAGTGCAAACTGATTTTTTTCATGAAGTTTCTTCTGCACGTCAGTTTTTTAGCTAGCACAATAAATCATGCATCCATGCACTAGAGGAATTATTTATTTATTTATTATTTTTTTTTTTTTCGTAATTCTTGGTAACTTTTATTAAGCATATCTCATTGATTTAAGCTTCTTTCTGTAGCTATTGGATGACATCCTTGAGAACCGCAGTGAACCTTCTGAAGTGTCTAGGATGGCTATAAGTGTCAACTCAAAGCTGATTTCCACTTTTGCTCTAAATGACATTCTAGTCGCGCATCCATGTCCTGCAACTGTTTCTCGATTATCGTTCAGGTAAGAATATTTGCTATGCAGCATCAAGAATGGTACATTGCTCTAGTGTGTCACCACTACTAACATAGTTCTTGTCGATACTCTCGTGTTATTACTTATTAGGATCAGGAACAATGGAACATCTTCCTCTTTAATAAACTGTAGATCAAGCGGGCTTAGGGTCTCAACTGCTGCCGGATCAACAGCTGCAATGCTCTCGGCAGGTGGATTTACAATGCCCATTTTGTCCAAGGAACTACAATATATGGTAAGGGATCCCATTTCTCCGGGGGGCAGCGTTCATTCAATGCACGGGCTCGTGAAATCTGAAGAGACAATGGATATTACCTGGTTTTGTAGAGAGGGAAAGATATATATTGATGGCTCCCATGTTGTTCATTCTATTCAACGTGGAGAGGCAATTGAACTCTCTTCCGGGGCTCCTACATTAAAAGTGTATTTGCCTAGCCACTTGTTATCTAAATGTGTATAATTCTTATGTATTGATAATCTAAAACGGGTAGTTGTTGTAAAATTATGCTTTAGAAGCTACTTAGAGCATCTTATCTATTTAATATGGAGTTTATTCATAAACTCATATTGAGATTTCGGCTGTCATTCTTTTAATTAAATTCAAATTGTGAAAATTTACTTCTCCATGAGAATTGTGTACAGGAGTTGATTCCAAGTATCTGGAACACCGGCAAGACACCAATGACTACAATCCAATGGCACATCAGCATATTTTGATGGGTGCCCATCTTTTCTTAACTGAGTGAGCAAAACAATGTCGAGTAAATATGCCGGCTTTTTCATGCTACTCAATACGCTCTTCACCACAGCATCGCCAGCAGGTCTATTACCCCGGAAATTCGACCCTTCTATGGGTTTTGTTTGTCCAGTGCAATTCTGCACTTGTGGTTCATTCCAGTCGGAGCCACTGATAAAACAGCAAATTAAGTACTCGGCCCTTAGGCGTACATTCTAATAAATCATCACTTAAAATTGACAAATATAAGACTGAAGATGGAACGAGAATTTACCGATTATGGATAGAAGAAATTCCTTGAAAAAATACTTCGGTGTTGGCAGTATCAATGTTAGAATCTACCCAATTAGCCCAAGTAGTCAAGGCTGTTTTGTATGCTGCCATACGATTCATGTCTTTTTCTTTGATTGTTTTGTTACCAATTTGATAGTAGTCCCATCTGAAATACAAAACACAATGTAAACAAATGCATTAAAAGTTCATTGGACGATATAACAATGACTCTACTGTCACACAAACCAATAAATATCTGAAGATTCTAAATGAATAATAATGCGAACTCACGTCTGAAGTTTGCCAGTGTGTAACCACCAGTGATTGCTGTTGAATATCAATACGTTGGCTTCTTTCCACTGTTCAGTCATGCTTAGGGTGTCAAGTTTCAGTGTTCTGTTTACTTGGGTTACAAGAAACCAATTTCTCAAGAAAGAAACTGAGACTCCATAATCCTTCCAAAGTAAAGGAAACACTATATCAGTTTTTTGGAGCGCAGAAGAAATTCTGTTATATAAATATGAAGTCATTGGACTTCTAATTTTATGATGTGACTAACGGAAAATATGACGTGACATAGTTTTCTTCTAGCAGTTTCTTAATAATTACCTTGAAGAAAATAGTTGTGAGCAGTCCTCGTGATTCAATGCTGTAATTGGATTTTGGGACCGCAGCATGAAGCATGCATCCCATTGATTCAAACTGGTTGGAGCTCAGTGAGTCTCCAACAAACATCATCTTTTTACCTCTCAATTTTTGCAGCAAATGCTCACCATTAAATCTGCGCCACGATCATGATCATGATGATCATCATCCAGTAAATACTAAAAATATCCAAATTTTATTATACAATGAAATCATTCTTACCTGGAAATATTACAACCAGTAGGGTTCCATCTGTATTTTAGGTACAGTTTATCAGGTCTGCCATTCTTCTGGCAGTTCAATCCACCATTAATGAAAGGGCACTGGGATGAATCATAAAGCGGATAAGAATTATCAAAAACCCAACTTCCCCGAAAGAGATCACAGCCGGTTGATGGCTTTTCTTCATCATCTTGGGCTCTGATGAACGCTTGCTGATGTAGAGATGCAGTTGTTAGAGAGAGGAGAAGGTGGAAAAGAGAAAAAACCCAGAAACCAGCCATGTGAGCCGGCATGCAACAAGTGGTGAAGTGAAAATTGAGTGAGTTCTGCTGTATAAAAGTATGTTTCTTAGGAGAAAAACTTCAATATATAGAGCGTTTTTATATGCAAACATAACAAGACCGTCGTCTTAAATTATGACACGTCACATCCTACAAATGATGACAACTCGACATTTGAAGTGATAGAAAAGAGAAACAAAGTGGACCTTGGATGTCAAGGTGTCATCCTTGTTTCTTCGGGGTTTGTTAATGATCATTTTGAACCCCAAATTTTGAGGGTCCCTACTACCCCGCCCCTAAAACTTTCTGAGGAAAGTAAATCGCAGGATGTGCCCCAACAAGTTAGGAAACAAGAGCTGCCTATACACGCCTACAAGGAGTCTAATTCCATATCTCAAAAATCATTTATGAAATAATGTTATAGTATCGGTGGCGTTAAAACACCAATTTAAGTGACTACCATGTATATATTCAATTAAATGAGTTATGTGATTTTGTATTTAAATGAATCTATTATTTATTGTCATGTATTAACATAGTACTTAGTACCAATGGTAATGAATATCATTACCCTACTTCATTTGGCAAATATGTGTAGCTTAACATCAAATTAAATTAAATTTCATCAAATTAAATTAAATTTATTTTTCTCCTATTTTCAACCACAAAATCTTAAATAAAATAATATTACACGTAAATTGAAAACCTTTCATTTTTTTACAAGCATCCATTAAAAAAAAAAAAAGAACATTATTCCCCAATTATAATCATAATTAATGGGAACCAAATGGGGGATTAATGGTGTCATAAACTCGAACTTAAATGGATTTTAAATGTTTGTATAAATCTGTTGTCTACAACTCAGATTTTAATAAATTTCATTTAACTCTTTAAGTTTTTGAAATAACTTCTGGGTTTCCAAGGATTGTGTTGAGAATTTATACTGCAAGTGGACGTTACCTCATACGAAAAATATAAAATGAGTGGACAGTGGTGTATCATTCCATGATGATTGATTATTGATTTCACCCTAAGTAATACTACTCTTAATAAAGCGCACAGTTAATATTTGAATTTTGAGTTCAATTTTTCAAATTAACAACTAAAGTAAGCAATTTAATTATAACAGACCGAATGAATAACGAGAGAAAAATCAATAAAAAGAAATAGCTAATTAACAACTAAAGTCTCGATTTTACTAATTAACGTGTTCAGTTCATATTTCGATTCAACAATTATGTTGTCAATCATTAATTCCAATAGACTTTCATCGTTTAAGTACTAATTAACTTATCCTTAAATATCAAACTTTAATTTTTCAATTAATAGTTTGATAAAAGTGACTTAAAAAGAATATAGGAAAGCTGTATGAATAAATAAAAATCTCTCAAACAGCAAATATGAATGTTATAACACACAATCTACTGATTTAACAGCTAAAAAATATTATATGATTTAACTCTCGTTAGCAAATATAAAAATAAATCAATCATATCAAGACAATAAAATTTAATAAGGACTAATCCTAAAGAATTAGCCCATGTATGATAACATTATTTTAGAACTCTTTATTATACACTCATTTTTAACCACATATTCACACATTAAAATATTCTGCACGTAAATTCAAAATTTTTCTCTACATTTTAACCATACATTCTTCAGAAATTTACTATTCAAACTTTATTTTTGTGAAATAATGTTTGTCAAACAGGGGTTTAATTAGAACGTGAGTTGATAATTTGTGTTTATGATTTGATCTCTACGACGCGATGTTCTCTTTTACGTAGACTGAACATTTTCGAAAGATTCTTTAAATATGAGATATACTCTAAAAGATAGAGAAAATTAATATATATTTTTTTGAAGTTATAAAATTACGTGTTAAATGTAAAAAGTTTGTTGGAGTGTGTTAAAATTTTCACTCTTTAAATTTTTAGATACTCTTTAAATGATAGAATATGCTCTTTAAAAATAAAATCTCACTCGTAGATGCTCTTTTATAACCTTCTATATGCTTTGATAATTGTGCCTCGGAAAATACTAAAATTGTCCTTAATTTTACATTGAAAATCAGAAATTCTAGAATTGGGCCAGAACAGACTGCAGGGGCTCAGTGTCCCCAAATTGGTCCTAGACGCGGTCACGGAGCCCAAGCTCGTGATCGCGGACCACCTTCTTCTCTAATATTCCAAATTTGGACATCCACTTTCAATTATGTCAATGTTGGTACATGAACTTCCAAACTTGTCCACTCTAGTCCTATAACTTTCAAGTTCTTCAATATTTTCCTTCAAATTCTGAAAATGTTGAAGTTAACCCCCGAGGTTCTCATTTCATCTAATTTTAATCCCCAAACATTTCAAACATCAAATATGATCCCAAAACTTGTGAATTCATTCAATTGACTATCCAAAACTTGTGAATTCGTTCAACTTGGTACATAATATTTCTTTACATTCTCACATGAATGCTATTACGATTGAGATTAAATCCTTCTATATATTCTCTATAGCCTTTTTCTTTTTAAATTTCTCTTCTATTTGTTGATCACAATCATGAATGCTGAAAAATGTTTGTATATTATAAAGAAAATTATAGTAAAGAGAAGAACTTGAAGTTATACAAATTTCACGTTATTTCGTATTTATTGAGTAGAAAATGTATTGTTTTATATGAAAGTTTTTTAATTTTGAATTAAAAGATGACCTACATGTAATTGTTAGTAATATACAAACATGCTAATAGTAATCAAATAGTTTTGAATAAACGACAATCTTCATCTAAATTGAGAATAAAATACATACAAGATGGTTATGAGTTTGTTATGCAACCCTACGGTATCCATTCTCAACCACCAATTTTCCTTTCTTCGGGGGCCAAAGAGAAATGCTCTTTTTTCCCTAATAGCAGGCGAAATAATTTCTAAAGAAGAATGGAGATCATTTCCAATAGAAATATTATCTTTCTTTGTTGTCTTAAGCATACCACGTTTTATTGAGTTAATTAAGATTTGCGTGAAGTTGATTTTTTCAAAAGCCTTTTTTTTTTCCTCTTATCTACATTGGTACATTGGTCATAGTGCCTGTGGAAAAATTGAACATAGGAGATCTTGTCTTAGAAAGTAGGGCATCAATTTCTAGCTTTAAGATGTGAAAAGGAAAAAGGAGATTGAAAAAAACTGAAAGCATATCTAGGAATCAAGAAATTTTCCAAAATAAGAAGAATTCAAAAACCCAATATCAGAGAAGTTGAATAAACTCATGTTCTAAATACTTATCTTTATAAAGAACGGGAATTACATAAAAGAAGGGGCACAGAGCTTGACCTTGCGAATGTCCTCGTGGGTCCCCTTGTACATGAAGTACTTGCTGGGGATAGCTTAAGAAATTCACTTATTGAAATTCTTATTGAAATTTGCTAATAATTTTAATCAACATTTTAATTACACATTCTTCAATTCTTATTGAAATTTGCTGCAAAAAATTATCTAAAGCTTTGATGGACATTCCTGAAGTTGCAAAATTGGGAACCCACAAACTCTTTTACCATCATTGACTAACAATTGATGTGAAAGAAAAGAGCTAAATTGAAGAAATGCCTATTTTTCATATGGAAGAACTACACGTATGTGAATGAATATTAGCATGTGATTTCAGATGCTTGAGAGATATGATTATAGTAATTTTGGACTTCCAAAATCTCAATAGTAACTATTAAAGGCATTTCGAGTTTTGTTGCTTGTGGATGTATCCACAGTTAATGATAATGATTTATGTCCCGATCGATATGTGGGGGTAAAATTTCGTTAATTATGTAATTTTAATGAGAAAAGTGCAGCGTCAAATTTTTGGTATGAGCTGAAGTAAATAAGCAAAATTTAGGTTCGATGTGTAACTAAAAATCACGGACAATTTATTATAATTATAATTATAATAAATTGTCCGTGATTTTTAGTTACACATCGAACCTAAATTTTGCTTATTTACTTCAGCTCATACCAAAAATTTGACGCTGCACTTTTCTCATTAAAATTACATAATTAACGAAATTTTACCCCCACATATCGATCGGGACATAAATCATTATCATTAACTGTGGATACATCCACAAGCAACAAAACTCGAAATGCCTTTAATAGTTACTATTGAGATTTTGGAAGTCCAAAATTACTATTATCATATCTCTCAAGCATCTGAAATCACATGCTAATATTCATTCACATACGTGTAGTTCTTCCATATGAAAAATAGGCATTTCTTCAATTTAGCTCTTTTCTTTCACATCAATTGTTAGTCAATGATGGTAAAAGAGTTTGTGGGTTCCCAATTTTGCAACTTCAGGAATGTCCATCAAAGCTTTAGATAATTTTTTGCAGCAAATTTCAATAAGAATAAATTCAACAATTAATTTAAATGATATATTTCATTGAATTCACAATTTTTTAATTACACATTTCATCAACTTTTATCAAAATATATTAAAACTTTGATTTTAATTCTCACCGAACAGGAGCTAAAATTAAAGCTAGATTCATAGAATGTCAAAATACAATGGATTGTTGACTCGTGGGACATAAGCAAAAGGTTGGTTTTTATTTTGGTAGTAAAAGTTTCATAAAAATCTCAATTAAGTCACTCATCAACTATTTATCTCGATCAAATCTCTTTATTTTAATTTCTTTTCTTGTCAATCACTTTTTTACTTCAAAACGAACATTAGATTCATATGTGGACATTAAAAAAGGCCTGATGTTTGAACCACAAAGAGTTTGTTCTAATTTTGATTACAGAAAGCCGCTTATCCTTAATTGATTTCAATCAAAATTTAATTTACTTTCAATGTTAGTCATTCTTTTACCTTTCCGTTAAAAAAAAATTGACGTTTGTAAATAGATATAATACTATCATATAATTTGTAGATTTTAGTCGCAATATCAAGACTTTTGTAAAACAATATTTAATTATTCGTTGTAAACAAATGATTAAATTACATGTGGTTATTTCAAATATTGAACTTTCATATCAAGATTTCATTATTAGGGCCTACTTAAAGATTCATAATTTTCACAAACTATTCATAGAGAACCACATGTGGCTTTCTTGTGGTCTTTGATTCACCAAATGTATTGTTTTCAATTTCGTCCCTTTGTTTTTTAATTGCCCGTTCCAAGTTTCCAACAAGTGATAGGCTGCAGTTGTGACTAATAACTAGAATACAAACATGACATTATAGTGTCACTTTCATGCCTTGTGTGGCTGATAATGAATTGAATTTAATAGGAATTAAAAAATATTTTATAAAATTAAATACGTGACAAACATGGTATTAAGAATGTTATAAAGATTAGGTTGGATCGATCGCGTTGATCATTAACGATACTAATTAAAATTAAAGAAGATAAAGAAATTAAAATATTAATTATTGCAAGCGAAACAATTCTCAAAAAAGTGGTATCGTGCACGAAATGAGATTCAAATATATGAATCAAAAAAATGACATTATGTCTATTCAAATATCATTAATTCATATTTCAGGCTCCAATTAATTTATACATTACAATTAAATATATTTCCTTACATTCTTTTTTATTTATTTTATTTATTCTCTGTGAATTATGAGACGATTGCTAACCTCTTGAATTAATTTTATAAATTACACTCAATTTGTATTAAATAAACTACATTATTTAAAAATTATCAATTCTAGTAGTTTTTCTCATGGTAAAGTAGGTTGACTATGTTCAAGAATTTTATTTTATTTTTTATTTTTTATTTTTTTAAAAGTGATGTAAATAGTAGTAAAGATATGCTGTTTCGAAGTCGTTATCCTCCAATACATTGTTAATAATCGATATACACATTTTCTTAACACATCACCCAAGTTTCAACTTGAAAGAGTAATTAAAATAATTCATCAACTTCAAATAATTTTTAGGTCTAAATATTGGATGAATCGGTTCGATATTTTAATATGCAATCATGCTACATATTTAGACTCAAATTCAAACTCAATCAAAATGGAATACGTGTCTACGTATGATTGAACGGTCTGAAAAATTAAAATAAAAACATCGAATCATTTTTTGACACATTAACCTATCTTTTCACTCCCTATATTACAATCTAACTAAGTAGCTTTATGCCTCCCGGGGTATGGTCCAATGATGCAAAGGATAGGAGTGAGATTATCTCACACTTTACTCGCAGTTGCAGTGTGAGGGTTCGATTCCTGAGATATGAAATTGGACTCCTTGTAGGCGCAGCGTACAGGTAGCTCTTGTTCCCTAATCTGATGGGGCACATTCCGTGATTTACCTCCCTCACAAAACTCTATGAACGGGACGGTGGGAACCCTCAAGATTGGGGTTCAATCTTTTTTTTTTTTTTTTTATCAATGAGTAAGTAGCTTTATTCTTTAATACGTGGGATGTGGCCGTGTTTTAAATCCCCATGCCAATGCCCCAAGCCCCCAATGGCTATTTATTTATTATTTCTTAACAAACTTTTATTCTTTCTCCATTCTCTCTGTCTCTTTCTAAAACACTTTTTATAGTCTCTGATAATTTCCTCCTTCAAACCAGCAAAACCCTCCTTCAATCTCACCTGAAACCCAGCAAAATTCAAACCTTTTTACTCAAGATCTCCATTGAAGGATTTCAGGCGAAGTCTAAAGATTCACCAAGACTTTTATTTTTCATTTTTCAATGCCAGAAGTTTCTTTGTAAGGTGCGTGTTAATCTTCATCTGAAGCTCACATTTTTTTATTTTTTATTTTTTTGTCTGTATTTACTCATTCCCATTACATTCTTTAATACAACTTTCTATGAAAGAACCACTTCTTCCATTTCAGTTTTATTTTAAGGAAATAAAATAGCATAACCTTCTCGTTCGTCACATGAATTTGTGGTTTCGATTCGAGAGACGAGAGAACAATTGCTGGTGATTATGGTGTTTTAGGAATTCTTGGGATTTCGAAATCAAAGCAGCTGTTTCGAAGTTAATTAGCGGTCATAAAAAGTTACGGTCTTTAGTCAAAAGTTGTCTGTCTGCCTGCACATACAGAGGATCGTGGGAATTTATTTTTGAATGAGTTTTTATTGCCTGCGTATGCTCCCACAGTAACTGATTTGTTGCGTGGGTTGGGGTTGGGCGTTGAATTGGACTATTGGTCCTCAGCTTATTGTTTTAGTATTTAAGTTGATATTCAACTTTTAAAAAGAAGAAGTTAGTCCTTAAAATTTCATTATAGTTGCAAAATCAGACCCTCGTAACTGGAATTATTTACATTTGCGTTAAATTGTAAGTTAATTCTAATAGAAATGCTCCAATTAAATATTTGAGCTTCCATCAAAGAAAGTTGAGAAACAAAGTGTACGCGTTTGGTTGTTGGTTATTTTAGATCACTTTTAGTGATACATAATATTGTTCACAACATCGTAGGATTTATCAAATACTTTTGTATAACTCATTATTTATAATCACTTAGGGCCTGCTTGATTTGCCTTGGAAACATTTTTCCTTGTTTGATTGCAAAAATTTTCTTGACAAAAAATTTTCCACCCCCACCCCCACCCCCACGTGAACCCTTTTCCTTGCTTTTGTGGAATTGCGATTTCCATCGGTTTGGTGGAAAATGGGTTTTAGAGCTAGCTTTTTTACTTTTTGAAGTTTTTCATTTTTTTTTTACAATAAAAACAAATTATATTCATAATTGTAACAAATTTTATCTCTTTAATTGACAATTTTCATAGAAAACAAAGTCAAACGAATGTCAAAAGTTTCAAAATTTCAATATTTTTCATGTGAAAAATTATATCAATCAAACACATTTAATTGACAATTTTCAATTAAACAAGTTATAGGCAATTCAATTCTCTGAAATTCATTTTCTTTCCACCCAAATTTTATTCTTACAATCAAACGAATCCTTAGACTAAAGTATAACCCATGTTTGACAATCATCATTTCTCATTTTTATTTTCAATTACACATTTTCACAATGAAATATTATTCACGTAAATTCAAAAAAATTCTCACTTTTTAACTAAACATTTTTTTCAAAATTTACTAATTAAAAGTTAATTCTTTAATAACTAGTAAGTCCAGGTCCAAGAAAATATAACAAATTTATGAAAAATGGTTTCAGTTTTTAGTGTATAGCTCACCAACAATTAATACCACTTGGCAAGTTCAGTCTAATTCTTAAAACTAACTATTTGTTTTGTTTTAATTTTTGGCCCAATTCTTAAAACTAACTTTGTTTAATTTTAGTCCAAATCCATCATTGGCTCATTTGATTCCTTTCTTTTTTTTTCTTTCTTCAAAATTCAACCTTAGGTGTCATTTGAAATTTTTGAATATCAAATTGAAATTCCCAAATTTTTTTAACCCAAAATCTTCCATTTTAAATGATGTTCTTCCTATCCCTCATGAATAAAGTTATTTTGTGAAATTTTCCAATTTTTACATTGTCACGGAAACTCATTGTTGCCTAATATAGTTGAAATGATTCTAGTTTCCCACTACTTATTGGAAATAAAAAAATGTCGGCAAAAAATTCTTGAATTTATTTCATTTGCAACATATGCGTGATGAGTAGGCTACTGATATCAAATTTAGATTCTTACAATATATATTAATTTAAGTTGGGAAGGAAAATAGAGAGATAAGAATTTATGATTTGGTATATGATGAATTTATAATTTCTTACAATAAAATGGTGTGAATTTATGATTTGGGAAGGAAGATTTTAAGTTCTAAGCTCTTACAATATGAACAAATTTATGATTATGATTTTATCAATTTATGTTTATGGGATAATGACATATTATGTTTTGATTTTTATGCTTTTAGTTTTAGATTTTAACATGGAAGAAGATCAACATTCTACCAAGAAAGAAGAATCGTCTTATCTTTCTTTTCAAAGAGTGATAAATCTAAGAATACAACCGTAATAGTTAATGTTATATTACGACTTTTTTGATATATCTGAATTTTATTCATACATTAAATTTTTAAATTTTTTTGCCCCACGTAACATTGATTTTTGGCTCCGCCCGTGTACAAATTAATAAAAGCTAGACATATGAATTCAAGTTAGTCGGGAATTTGTCATATATGACATTTACATGAGCGAGGATTGATTGTATAATGATAATTTAAAGTTTGGAATTCAATTTTTTATTTTTGAAAGTTGAGGACCATTTTTTATTCTGGCAATAAATTGGGGACCAATTCTGTAATTTCCATTTTTTGGGTAAGGGGCATGTGTTTTTGTCTATCGATCATGTGATGAGGCCCGGATAAGTAGTATATATGTAAGTGATATATTTGTGGACGGCTGATTTGATATCACAGTTCATGAATCATATTGCTTTGACAATGCCGTTTGTACCCTCTTTTTTGTACATCATTGTTAACAATAAGGGTTTGTTTGAACCACATTATTTTAAAAAAATACATTTTTAAACAGTGATTTGACATCATTTCAACCATACATTCTTCAATAAAATAATATTACATGCATATAAAAAAAATTTCCTTATTTTTTAACAACACATTTCCTATCAATACACTATTAAAGAATGCATTATTACCAAAATAATGTGGCTCAAACACCCCCTAAGAGTGTTGTCAACAATTGATTGGGTGAAATTTTTTTCCAAAATTTAAATTGTCCAATGATGTATTGTTACGTTGCAAAGTGTAAAAGATTGTATATCATGATGTACACCAAGCATGATTGACTTGCTTTTGTCTACGTGTATTTATGGGGACCCACAAATTTTTTCTTCAATCATGCTCCACGAACATAAAATTTGACATAATGCCAACGTCACGTGACATTGTATCATTGAATAGTTTAAAATATAATCAACTTTTTATCTAATTTCTTTCTTACACATGTAATTATGTCAAGCTTTATGTCAAATTAGCTTTATCCTTTTTTTTTTCCCCTTGCTGATATGAGATCAATAATCAAATTTGTGGACCCCGCTTTGCTTTTGTTTTAATATAAAAATGTAACATGCTTTTATTTTTTCCCCTTCATTTTTGGGGGTGGGGTTCTTCACTTCTTTTGGTTTGTGTGCAACTTACATTGGATACTTTAATAGGATTTGGGACTGTATTACCGATCAATATGGTAGATAAAATTTTAATTCTTCTTTCTTTTTCTTTTTACCAAATAAGTTACGAAAGAGATCGGTTTATGCAGCTATTAATCCCGAATTTACATCGTTATGGCTTCGTCCGACAAGTTTTAGGTGTCCCCCAAATACTAAAAAGTAAATAATGTTCGTTTGGGTAGAAATTTTGCTTTTGCTTCTTGTAGAAAAATTTTCTGAGAAAACTACTTAATTTCCTTTAATAACCTTTCTAATCAAATAAAACACTTTAAAAAAATAATCTAAACATATTAAAATAAACATTTTAGTCTTTGCTTTTGATTTTTAAAAAGTCATACCAAACCACCCCTAAATCTTATTCTGAACGATCTTGTTTTCTCATCCAATTGGTTCATTGCTATACTTCCCTTTTTCAACATAAATCATAAACACATTGTTCAAGAATTGTAAGGTGAAACACTGTTTAAGATTTTAATTTCTTTTTCCTCTGTAACGTCCTATCGTAATTTGTAAAATGCTTCTTCCTGCAAAAATGCAACAACATCAGGCCCTTAGGATATTGAAACCTTTTGAGGTTGTCCTTGCATATAATTCTTTCCCCCGTTCTCCTTTGTGCTTCTTCTGTTGTCTTTTCTTTTCCTCCCGTTGTAGTCCACTTCTTTTTTTGTTGTTGAATTTCGATGCCTTTAATCACCTCGATTCAAGTGTTAAAGCAAACAGCTTTTCTCTTTTATTTGAACACGCTCATTAAGCATAGTTATAGTAGCAATCATTGTCGCAAATATTCCATTCTTTCTTTAATTATTCATTTCTATCTTTTAACTATTTTAGCACCAGCATTGCTGCTATTATAACCTCAGAAATCACTTCATTTTGTGATTATTCTTGTTTCAGATGGATTCAGTTAAACAATCCAGTGCGACCCCAAGTAAAATTAGGTTAGCACGTACTTTCGCTAAGGTTTTACACATTCGAGCATTGACGGGGATAGCTCCTGATGATGGGGTCCGGAAGATTGAGATGAAATTGAATGATCACTTGAAGAGTCCATTCTCCGATGATGAAGATGAATTTGTTCGGGATAGGGCGGTTGAAGAAGCTTTTCTTGCTAAGCTGTTTGCTGGAATATCTGCTGTTAAAGCTGCATATGCAGAGTTGCAATTTGCTCAATGTCCTTATGATGCTGATGGGATTCAATCTGCAGATCAAATGTTAGTGTTGGAACTAAAGAATTTGTCTGAATTGAAGCAATGTTACTTGAAGAAACAGTTGGACATGAAGAGTCCAGAGAAGACTCTGGTTTTAGCAGAAATTCAGGAGCAGAAGAGTCTGCTGCAAACTTATGAAATTATGAGTAAGAAGTTGGATTCTCAGCTTAAACTTAAAGACTCTGAAATAACTTTTCTTGAAGAGAAATTGGCAGACGTCGACACGGATAATAACTTACTCCAGAAGAGATTGAAGTCAAGTGGACATTTAGGCATGCCTGAGGATATTCATTTCTCTGGCTTGAGTCTCAACCACTTTGTTACATGTTTTAAGCAGACAGTAAATTCAGTACGCGGATTTGTCAGGTTGCTGATTAACGAAATGGAGTCTGCAGGTTGGGATTTGGAGGCCGCAGCCAGATCAATTGAACCTGGGCTAGTTTTCTGGAAACAAAATCACAAGTGTTTTGCATTTGAATCCTTCGTCTGCAAAGAAATATTTGATGGTTTTAGTTATCCGAATTTCTCTATCCAAGAGGAGTCCTTGCCGGAGCAGAAGGAAAGAAGAAGGCTATTTTTTGACAGATTCATGGAGTTGAAATCTGTTCGACCAGCGGATTATCTAGCCTGGAAGCCTAAATCTGCGTTTGCAATGTTTTGTCGTGCCAAATACCTAAGACTAATTCATCCTAAGATGGAAGCATCCCTGTTTGACAATTTGGATCAGAGGAATTTGGTGAATTCTGGTGATTGCCTGGAGACACCCTTCTTCTTGGCATTTGCTGAGATGGCTAAGCGCATTTGGCTCCTACACTGCCTGGCCTTATCTTTCGACCGCGAGGTATCTATCTTTCAAGTGACTAGGGGAGCTCGTTTTTCTGAAGTTTACATGGATAGCTTAAGCGATGAAGCGTTCCTGTTGTCTGATGGCACACCAGAAACTGATCCTCATGTGGCTTTCACAGTGGTTCCCGGGTTCAGAATAGGTAAGACAGTTGTTCAATGTCAGGTGTATCTAATAAATCCGGCTTGCACATGAAGGCACACTGAAGACAATTTAAATTACTAAAGTTGTTCTCTATAACGTTTAACCTTTTAAGTGAGCACGGTATCTATGTTGAAAAACTCGGGATTTGCCAAAGTGAAGTGCACGACTAGGCCTATATCTTGGCCTACATCCTCCAAGGATGGCAATTCCCCTTTCCATTATAGAGAGTAGTCATTGCTTGCCTGGTAGCTGCCTAGGTGGTTAGGGCTTTCAAAGATTCAAGATTTTCTCAATTTTGTGTAACATTGATCAAGTGTTGAAGGATACTAATTGTACATTGTAGCACTTCATTATATACATTCAGTGTTTTTATATTCGGCTATATCATAAAAAGTATTTTTGTACCTGTCGGTAGGGGTGACAATTGAGTCGAACGGCTCACTTATTGAGCTTGTCTGAGCTTGACCGATGGGTTCATCAAAAAAAATGTGACCAAACGATCACATTAAAAAAAAAAAAAATCCAAAAAATTATTATATGATCTCCTACCCATGTTGTGTAGGACACCTTGTAAAAAAAAAAAAAAAAAAACATGCTCACCACTGACATGGCTGCCCCCATTTACGTCAACGTCAGGCCTACAACTTCCAAGCTGTATATATACGGCTTGTGAGCTCTCGGCTCGCCTCAACCCATTGCTGGTATGCACTGCAAAATTGGATCTCTTGATTTTGCTAATAAGAGTCGAAGTGACGAATAGGACTTGATAGTTTATCTCGATTTTTATTTGAAAAAATGCTAATCTTTCACTTATCCTGAGGTCCAAGATTAAATTGGAATACTTTATCGGAGAAAGAGAGGATAATGTGCTTTAAAGCGTGTTTTCTAGTCTAATGAAGAAACAAAGTGGAGTTATAATTTATGCCATGCTTCGTCTAAGGATTACATGAATAAATGATAAATATACACTTACTTACAAGTGTATCTTACAAAAATGTCACCAATTAATGTGTAAATGAGGTGACTCTCTTCAAAGGAGAAAGAGAAAAATCAAGAACTTTAGAGTTCAATGGCCATCTCCGGGACTAGGGGTCGACTTCTTGCGACCAACAATATTGCCAACATTCCCGAGTTGGCGGCTGAAGAGATTTCCATGTGGTATAACCACAGAATTGCCTCTATCACTTGGGGCAGAAGGTGGATTAACAGTACCCTTGTGAAGGGCACTCAATATTGAACTCTCTTCTAGGGAAGGTGCCTTGTCCTTTCCCATGCTCAGAAGCATGCTTGTTTCTAAGGATTGCACAAAACAGAATAGTACGAGAATCAAAGTGAGCAAAACTGAGTTCAAGATAGCCATGTCAAAAGCTAAGAAAATCGAAGAGAAACGGACTAATGAAGTGGTAAAGTTGGTGGGAAGTGAATCATATATAGCGTAGGCATAGTTATATTCTAAGAAAGAGAGGAGGGAGAGAGAAAGAGTAAATACTAAGGTTCAGATCACAAATCTTCAAGAGACGGCACCGGGGCACCACTCACACACTTGTTACTACAACTCTTATTTGGGAATATCTGATGAAAAAAGTTGGATAGGGACTAATTAACTAAGATGCTGGCTTTTGTTTCTTGGTAAGCTGCATGAGGCTGTCTTTTATGTTGGTGTGGGATCAATTCACTTGGATAAAGACTGAAAGTGGACATGATGGGTAAAGGGCCCCCCAGTGCACCTCAGGCCTGTGCAACTGTGCACAAACTCCAGGACTTCATTTACCCTTCACTGCTATCACTCTTGTGTTCATGGGAATCTAATCCAAATTTGGCACTTCCGGTTCACCGTGGCCATATGATGCTGAAAAAGTGGCAATAAATGACAGTTGTTATGAATTTAATTTCCATCTAATCCATAATTCAGATAACTAGCATACTTCGAGGACAACTCCAGTATGTCACTAGTCTGGTAAGCAGATAATGAGAAATTTGGAACTCTCCTCGTAACAAAATTGAGATGCAAAAATAGGTTATTTTACGGCATTTACAATAGAGAAATATTTTCACCTAGGTACAGTTAAGTTTCAAAAGCATATCCTTAATTTATTGATTTATGTAACAGGGTTCGATAAATATGATACTTACAGATTTGTCCCTGGGTTTAGATTACAGTCCAAGCAAAGCATTTAAGAGAGAGAATTATGTCATGCCAAAAATATGAAAAAAGCAAATAGATAGATGATAGAAAGACTTTCTGCATGCATTAGACTTGGAAGACACGACAATTAAAGAAGACAAAAGAAGGTAGGGAAAAAGTCAATTACAGAACGAAATTAGCTGAAAAAGTTCCTTACTGTATTACTGAAAACTTGCACACCAACAGACAATTTTCACACCTGAAAAAAAGGAGGTCCTAAGGAGTTTTGCTGCCATAATCATAAAATGCATTAATATATATTCGGTCCGACGTACATTATACACGGAATAAAATGAGAAAGTGCGAGGAATCACACCTTCTGTTTTTATTCAAAAGGGGAGTCTCCTCATTTACTCTTGGAGATTTACCTGCAGCCTCTGTATTTCTTCTATTTCCATTGCAAGTTAAACTGCAATACAAACCCAGGAACAATTTGTAGGAAAGAATCTGTATGCGATGACCGGCAGCATGGCATTTGCAGACTTTAAAAGGACATATGGTAGGCGAAAAATGATCAGCAGCGGACAATGTGCCAACTGCAGCTGTTTACATGCTTTCTTGTTATAGTCAGGCTCTCCCAGTCCCTTTAATGAGTGGCCAAGTCCTTGGGAGCAAAATTAATGAAATTAACGGTATGTTACCACAATAATAAGAGGGAAAGGGAATCATTATTCCAAACCAGAAGTCCCCACAATTTTAGTTAAAATATCACTGAGAGGAAATTTTACTTTATTATAGGCATGGCGCTTGTGGCTCACAAAAGTTATAGTAAATTATAACCGCAACCATATTAACTCCTTAATATGTGAGCATCCAGCGCTAAGAAGTCGATCCCATTTAGCCATCCCTAACCGAGTGATCCTGAGTGCTTAACAGGCTACTAATAACCTCAGTTGCATCACAGTGGCTGTCCTCCTTGCAGACTAGAGAAATAACGAATCTCCATATATCTGAGTCAATTGCATTTCTTTTAGCCAAACTATTTAAAACTGTCCATATTATTTCCGTTTTATGGCCTTGTACTAATTCACCAACAAATTTGCTTATACTAGAAGAACGAGGGACATATCCTTTGAAAAGCATCTCATCCAATATACCTGCCCCTTCCTTTAAATGCTTTTGGTCACAAAGCCCATCAAAAAGTATCCTGTAAGTTACCACATCTGGGAAGCATTTTCGTCTTGGCATATCTTCCAATAAATCACGTGCTTCTCTTGCTTTCCCTTCCCTACAGAGCCCACCAATAATAACATTATAACTAATCACATCAGGCTTACATCCATTTTTTTCCATGTCATTCAAAACCCCAAAAGCTGAATCAAACTCCTTCTCCTGACAAAACCCACATATAAGAGCATTATATGTTACTGTATCAAGCTTACACCCAACTTTCTCCATTTCCTCTAACAATTCAGAAACCTCCGCCTTCCGACCAACCTTAAAAAATTGATTGATCAAGGTGGAATATATTGCGGAGTCCAATTCCACTTTCTTCCTCGATATCTCCTCCTTTAGCTTAATAGCTTTGTCCAACTCGTCAACCTCACAAAGCCCTTTAATCAATGCGGTATAAATGTGCGCATTAGGTTTAATTTTAAAATCCCCCTCCATCTTCTTCTTCAACTGAAAAGCCTTATCCAATTCTAACTTCGTGCAGTAGCCACTAATTACGGTCCCGAATGTCACAACATTTGGTTCCACTCCTCTTTTCAACATTTCATCGAACATATTAAGTGCTCCCTCTAAATCACCCTTTACACGACGCGCATTGATCAATATATTATACGTACAAGCATCTGGACTCCCGTATTTTTCAATCTCCATAACCAACTCCCACATTTTCTCAAACTCCCGACAAATAAGAAGACTATTCAAAACAGTATTCACAGATTTTATCGTTCTTTGGCATCGGAAAGCAGACATTTCTTCGAATACCTTGAGGGCTTTACCCGGCAAGCAGGCTCGACCATAAAATGTGATGATGTTGCAGAGAATGATTTCCTTTGTAATTATTCGGGTGTCAGATTTCAATTTCTCGACGATATTTTCCATTTCAGAGAGCATTCTGGCTCTGCCGAGCTTGGAGATTATGAGGTCGTACGAGAGGAGAGAGTACCGGAAGGGTTTCGGGTTTGGGTCATTCGGGTTCGGGTTCAGGAAGAGCCGGAGGGCTAGCTTGGGGTCCTTCTGGAGGCGAAGCAGGGAGGAAAGTCTGAACGGTGAGACTTTTTTGAGTTTCTCCATTTTTGGGTGCAACGGTCAAAAGGGTGAGAGATATTTCATGGGGTTGGCGCCATAAGCGTCAAAGGATCTGTACTTCGAATTTAATGTTTTATTGGTCATTGAACTTTGCACTTGGTCACGGCTCATTCGCCAAACTTTAATAATCGTCCCAAGCCACTAAACTAAAGTCCATTACTTCCCATCAATTGCTGAATGAATTTCACGTTTGACTCTAAAAATTTACTTGGATTGTTAAATATTGAAGTGGATCTCCACATCATCCAAACACTCATCATTTCCAAACAAACCCCCAAGCCATTGGAAAGCCCCTCCAACCACCACCACTCCTTAACCAAACCCACCGGAAAGATACTCCAACCACCACTAACTCCAAATTGTCCCACCTCTTCCCAATTTCCTATCGTCTCCACCACCACTTCCAAGCCCTTCAAAATCAAGATACGGCCTCCAATTTGCCCAATCTACTGCCCTCATCCTCCACCACCTCTCTCCCCAAGAACAACAGTACCCATAAACCCACATTCACCACCTCTTGAAAAACTTGAAAATCAACCACTATTGCTTATAGAATCTAATTAAAAAAATCAGTTTGAAATCGATTCTACCAAAAATCGTGCTCGTCGATTATTCGAGCTTGATGACTGCGAATGAGTACTGATGGTGACATTTTACAATATCCCCGATCAGTATATCCCGAGGACTAATTTTGGTAAAGTTGTAAATCCATCTGTGGTGTCCTCGAGCATGTTCGTCCTCGAGACACAAGGCCCGACCACATCTCCATGATGCTTCGCATATTGCAAACATGTGTCCTCGGGTATAGTCCTCGGGAATGTGCTCCTCCTTACTGCTGACGATTGTTCACACTTTAGAATTCCTACGCAATTAGGAATCTTAACTCCCACAAGAGTCCTATCTCATGCATAATTCTGGAATTCAACCAACTCCTTAACCATTCAGGACTCCAACAGATGAAGACATCCAACTAGTTGAGTCCAATTAGGAGAATGTCACTTACTACTATAAATACAGAACCTTGAACCATTATTCAGGTACGTTTTCTCATTGTTCTTCAGCATATAGCCTCACGCATATATTTTCCTTTCTGACTTAAGCATCGGAGGGGCGACGAGAACACACCTCGTTGCCTTTGTTTCAGGTATTGGAAGATCACGTTCGTGCTCATCATCAGTCATCAAGCTCGGAAAATCTACAGGTACGATTTTTGGTAGCATCATTGGCGCCGTCTGTGGGAAGCGCTACCAAAAGCCATGGTAAACACACGTTCAGGTCTTCCACCAGCAAGCTCATCCGCTCCAAACCAACCCCCTCCTGAGGATATCCCTGTTCCTCAAGAGGAATCATCAGAAGTGCCAGAGCCCCAGCCGGCGGTCGTCACTGCTGGAGCCTTTGAAGAGCTCAGACAACAGGTCGCCACACTGACTCAGCTGCTAAGTCAAAGAAATTCGCATCCGTCACCTACACCAGCACCCCAGGGGGGTTT